GTAAGGCGCAAGATGCCTTTTTTTTGTTGGCAACCTCGCCTTGTTTCTGCTGCCGATATGCGAGGGCAAAGTCGGGCGAGCTTGGTGGGAGTAGGAAACAACAACAACAACAACAACAACAACAACAACAACAACAACAACAACAACAACAACAACAACAACAACAACAACAACAACAACAACAACAACAACAACAACAACAACAAGAACGAGAACAACAACAACAAGAACGAGAAGAACAACAACAATAACAACAATAACAACAACAGCAACAACACCACCAACAACAACAAAAACAACAACAACAACAACAACAACAACAACAACAACAACAACAACAACAACAACAAACTCCAATGTCGTGCTTGCGCATGAACGCGAGCATGGTTCCGGTGAGCGCGAGCATATAGGTCCGAGTTTGAGCATTCGTGGCAACCGGTGAGTGTGCTCTAAAGTGAGTTTTCGGCGTATATTAGCCGCTTTTACTACTTCGGGCATCGCAAGTCGGCACCTTAACGGGGTACTTCTTTGTGGCACCACTGTAAACCGGGGCGCATTATCGGGGCATGGTTAAATAGACCTAAAACGTATTATAAAACCCTGCTTAGCCAGGTTATAAATGTTGCCTACTTATATTCCGAAGGAGCAGGCAGGGAAACCTCAAAGCAAGGCAAGCTGGTGTACCATTTCAGTTTGAGTTTAGTTTATTTTACCACATACAGTTGCACAGTAAGTGGCTGGGGCAGAGGAAAAAAAAGCTGTATAAACTTAGCCCATTTCCCCATGGCAACTATGGCAACAAAACTGCAAATCAAAGTAAACACAGGACAGTTTAAACCAGCAATGCATATGCTTCGCATCGGAACAAAAAGGTAAACAAACAAACAATACTAACCAGGAACGCAGATACTATACATCGAAAGAAATAAGTAATTAAACAGGAAACAATACTACACACAAACTAATAAATCATATACAAAATAGAATTATTGAGAGCTTACGCGTCCTTTACGCATAGAATGCGTACAGGACGCGAGACCTCGTTGTTACGGTATTCAACGTAACGTTCGCTATAACGAATTTTCTATGTACGTGAACAAAGTGCGAGCGGTCTGTGCGTCGAAAAATGCGGGTCACAAGTATAGCGGCGTGCGGTCGTCGGTGGCACACTTTGTGTGTAACGCGCATGCGCGTGATGTGATAGGTGACTGTGCGGTGCGGCGATGATGGACCATTGTCCAGTTTTTTTTTTTTCGAAGCGAGCCGAGCAGGCGTCGCGGGCGTATATATCGTTCGCGCAGCGGCTTTATGACCGCGTCAGAGTATATAGCTCTCTCTGGCGGCACGAATGGGCAACCCAGATCCGAATGGACCAGCGGGACCTACTCGCGTATTGCTTCATTTCGCGCGCTCTCTCTGGTACGTTCGGGCTGTCGACCTCTGCGTAACGATTACGCGGCATGCGTTGCCGCGTCGTCTTTTATGACTTGTCCTGCCCGTCATCACCATTTGGTGGTGGTGGTGGTGGTGGGGGGGGGGGGGGTGACGGGCAGGACGTATCCCTGCTGTACGTATTTTGCGTGTTGTCTTCTCGGCGTAATCGCCTGACATGCCGGTGCATGGTGACTGCAGCTTCCAGTACTGCGTGGAAGTGTATAGGGACTCCTCGAAACAAAATCCGCAGTCTCTTTATCTGGGGCTGGGGGTAGCACAGGTGAAAGCCGATGTTCTCACGAGAAACTCGTTAGAAAACTCTTCGTTTTGATTATTGCCGTCTCGGCAAGTCAATCTATCGGTATGTTGGCGCCCAGCGACGTTGCTCCTCTCTAGTGATTTTAAGCGCCTAACATTAAGGGGCCGGCTTTTTGTCCATCCATAGATCTCACGTGGCGTGGTCACGCTCACAATCATGCGCGCAGTACAGACCCTAAAACATGGTGGTCAATGCTCAAAGCCGGATCAAAGTAAACGAACAAGATCTGAAATTATGTAATCAACAACAATAATCAAGAAGTAATCGCAATAATTAACTTTAAATCGCGACAAACGGTAAAGAACACACGCGGTTGGCTTCTGCACCGCTCGAGAGAGGGCGCCACTGTCTCGCAGAGCGCACAATTGCGCCTCCCACCCGCACTCGGCCGGCGCATCGTCGCTTTATCTGAAGACGGCAAGAATCTGACGAGACCAAGGAGGATTAAAAAAAAAAAAACGCTGGAGTGAAAGCTCCCGCAATGCTTTGCCAGCAGAAGTGAAGTCAGCTTTTGCCACTGCCAAGGCGTCGGAAACATGTTCTTTTCTGATTGTGCCCACTTAGAAATCAAGTGGATTTAATATGTCAGCGTAAATTCTACGTTAGTTCTATATTAAGAGGTAGCTGTTCCTGACTAAATAACACACAGAAACGAGTATGGGTGACTGTATTTCCCAAGGACTTTGTCTGATTGATTGATATGTGGGGTTTAACGTCCCAAAACCACCATATGATTATGAGAGACGCCGTAGTGGAGGGCTCCGGAAATTTCGACCACCTGGGGTTCTTTAACGTGCACCCAAATCTGAGCAAACGGGCCTACAACATTTCCGCCTCCATCGGAAATGCAGCCGCCGCAGCCGGGATTCGAACCCGCGACCTGCCGAGTACCTTAGCCACTAGACCAACGCGGCGGGGCTCAAGGACTTTGTCTCTAATTAGAGGGTCTCTTAGGAAAACTAGTAACACAAAGACGCACTTGGAACACTATCCCCCGTATTCACAAACGCTCCTCGACTCGACTTCCACCTTTCACTTGACAGAGTTGAGCACTGCGCCACCGCTCGGCTGAAAATGACGCTGCGCTACTCAAGAATCGCAGCAGATTATCGGTGGTAAGCAGTGAGTTGCTGTGCCTACAGAAGGCGCTCCCATCGGCTTTCTCAAGTGAAGGTGAAGCGTTGAGTGAAGGGACGTTCTAGAATACGGAGGTATGTGACCCGAAAAAGTTTCCACATTACAGTCGTTGGGCGTGTTAGGGGAACGCCCTGTTCTTAATCGCTTTATCATGCCCCTAGTAAGATGGGCGCCGCGGCCGCCATCTTGCCAGAAGCACGGCTTCACTCCTAGGCGATGATTTTCACTCCAGCAATTTTTTTTATCCTCCTTGGACGAGACTCGCTTGAAACGACGCTTATCTAAACTTCCTAATCAAGCAGGAAGTTGATAAAGCGCAGCAAAATGTAGCGCACACGTCGCGCACCGAGTTTGTTCTGCTCGTGCCAGGGTAACCCTGCATGCTTATCTAACACGTTGACGTCATTGACGTCATCGAGCGGGAACTCGACGAACGGGAACTGCTGGGTGCCCGTGCTACGCACTTCCTCCGGCCTCACATTAGTGGAAGCTGGATTTGTTTTTTTTTTTCATCATTATACTAGTTGGACATTCTAACTCGTTAAACTGGCTTATCTAACAAAGGGTGTATCTTTTTTCTCCGAAAACATTCTTTTTTCAGCCGTCGGATCAGCGCACTTAAGTCGAAATAACTCAACAGCGCACATAGCACGGCTCGTAAGCGCACGTCTTAAGGTGACGATGACGTGTGCGAAATTTCTTTCCCAATAAATGTAACATAAGGGGGGTAACACACTTTGCCTTTTGCTTCTCAATACAGAAGCTATCTAATATCTCCCTCGAACATTGATTGCGATGTTCTTGTGCATATTCGCGCAAGTACGGAAAAATGACGTGACACTCAAAGAGGCAGTCTTCGCCGCTCATTCAAAGCTCACTATTGTAGAGCGTTAGGTGGGGGACGGGGGCGGGGGGCAGGGCAGGCAAATGGTCATTTCGTGCTCCGTATGCCATGGCAAAAAAAAAAAAAACTTTTTTCGGGGGGGGGGGGGGCACCTCCTGGCCTCGTCACTGCTCCGTCTTAATCTATTCTGTGGTATCAGTACTTTTTAACTATTTAAAAAACAAAAACAAACAAAAACATGGTCGATGTTGTGTGAAACACGCCGATAATTGAAGCGAGCTTGAAAATAGCATGATCGGGAGAAGTTATATGTATTTTTTTTGCAACTCCGTTCTTGTACAATGCCTTCCCCTCACTATGTGTATCAGTGCAGTGAAGCCAACTTTTTAGGACTATCGTATTCGGGTTGCCTATGTAGGAAAAAAATAACATGTAGATTTAAAATAATTTTAAGGCTAAGAAAGCACACCGGGCAAATAAAAGTTCAGAGAAGTGTTTTGGCTTTCGTACGTAAGCATTGTTCACAATCCGATTGTAAACAAGACGGCCGCACGGAACCCGAAACGCCGCGTCTTTTTAAACTTCTATTTGGCTTGTATGCTTTCTGTTGTCATGTTTAATCGTGACCGTACGGTATTTCGTCGAACTATACATTTAGAAATGACATCAAGTGCGAACAGCAGACATTTGATACTGTTAAGCGTTTTTTCTAAACGTCTGCTTTTTTTTTCCGAGAAAGAAAAAAAAATTGTTGTCTACCTTCTTTTCAACAGGTGTGCACGTTGGGGGCTAGTTGCTAAGACTTTATTTGTGGACAAAAACTGCGCTTGTAGGCGACGTTGTAGTAGGCCATCTGCACATATACGCCACCGATTCCATGACGTCACTACGTCACGGATATAGTGTGCATATTTGTTCATTACGAGGGCCGAGTTCTTGTTTGGCGTTTCGACTGCGTGAGACGTCAGTGCATGTTGATGATATACGCAAAAGGAAAGCAATTCAGTTTTGGCAGATGAAGCAGTCTGTGAAGTCTCGGCTTTTGTTTTTACTGTTTTTTTTTCGATGAAAATGTGTTATAATCACATTAACGATAATAATATATGGAGTCTTATGCCACAAAAGTGTGATATGATTATGAAATATGCCGTAGTGGATGGCTGTGAAAATTTAGACTATCTGGCGTTCTTTACGGTGCATTAACATCGCACAGTGCATGGATCTCTACGGTGTCGCGTCTATCGAAATGCGACCGCCCAGGCCGGGATGAAACCCGAAACCTTGGGGTCAGCAGCCGTGCACCATAACCACTGCCCCACCGCAGCGTGACCCGCAGCGCACGATGCAAAAAAAGTTCGACTCGCATGCAGAGGACGTGGCTTTAACCTGTTTTGCGTGTCTTTGTGTTTCCAGCATGGAGGAGGAGCAGGATGCCGGCGTGGCCCAGCTCTGGGAGGTGTTCGACGCCTGCGACACGGAGCGGACGGGACGCCTGGACGCCCGAGGCCTGCAGCTGCTGTGCCACAGGCTACAGCTGGCCAGCAGGGCGCCCGCCCTGATCCACCACCTCTTCGGTCGGCGGAGGCAGGAGGGCTTGGAAGGGAGACCCACCGCCACGGTTAGTGGTCTTGTTGGCTAACGTTGGCTAAAAGAAATCTTAGTCGAAATCAAGATGAATCTAGGAAATTGCACCATCTCCCACTTAAAGGGAACCACGAGTAGCGTGCGAAGCAGCGCATGGGTGGACATGAAGTTTCGTTCATCACGGGCGCTTTGCCTGACGTTGACGCGCCCGTGCAAGCGGAGCACACCGAGAACTCACGGTAGTTTCTGTTGCTGTTACTCGTCTCGAACTCTTGCTGGAGCGCGCCACGCGATTTCATTGCCACGCCAAGCGGGAGCACGTAAGTTCATCGCGCTTCTGTAGCATCCCGTTCCCCGACTCCATCACGGGATTGCAGAGAGAGAGAGAGAGAGAGTGTGTGTGTGTGTGTGTGTGTGTGTGTGTGTAAGAAGGAAAGGCCACAGCCTCTGACCCAGCCCCTTATCCAGCCCTTGCTTGGGTAAGAAGCTGGGCCAGTGCTTGGGCCAGCTGTAGCGCATGTGCAGTAGGGGTGGTCACACACACCGGATGGAACTCGGGAAAAAAAAAAGCTGCTTCGCACCTAAAAAGTCAGTTTCGCCGAAAGGGCGAAGCAATGAATGCGATAGCAGCATATTCGAATGCTTTACGAAGCAAGACTAGCATTTTTAGGAGCCATATTAATTGTAGTAAACATGCGCTTGCTAGGTAACCAAGTTTCATGCGGCGCAGCCACAGTAGATGACCACAGCAAGGCTCGTGCATAGTGACGGCATTGTTGAGAAGCGCCTCCAGTGGGCAGCGCATGCTGGTACTAAGGGCTATACGTCGTGTGTCGCCGCTGGTGGCAGTTTGTTATGTGTACAGTGTATCCATATGTGGACGGCCGCTCCAGGTACACTTTCGGCACCGTTTTTTCGTATTGAGAGCGCAGCCCGTAGAAGCTCCCACCTGCTGTGGGTGCAAGAGCCGTGCGCTGATCGTTGCTGCGATAGCGCTTCAACCATAAGCCCCTCCTGTTCGCCCACGAGATAAGCGCTTGCTCAGATTTACACACACAAACACGCACACGCACACGCACACACACACACACACACACACACACACACACACACACACACACACACACACACACACACACACACACACACACACACACACACACACACACACACACACACACACACACACACACACACACACATGAATGAAGGCGACGGCAAAAACCAGGTGATACTGTGTATATAATTGCTATCGCAATAAAACGCAGTAGAGTCACTGCGAAAGGCGAAAGCAACCTTTCTATAGAGCCCCTTGCTAACACTTTTGGACAACTACTATGGGTATACAGAGGCACCCACTTAAACCATTGTACGTTTTATGAAATCAGAAAGCTCTCACTATACCACCATTAAACATTCTACCGAGAAGCTATGCACAGGCGTGAGCAAAAGCGTGCAGACCACGGGGTCACGTGGCCGAAGACATCCACGCACCATCTAGCGACGAGATGCCTGCTGCGATGCGCATGCGCGTCCCATCGTATCGGTCGGCCCCTCATGTCTCTTTCTCTGGCGCGGTGCGGTTACACCGCTGGTAGGCACAACGACAACTGGGTGTCGCTTTCCTAGCCCCATCAAACTTGTGCCATTTATTTTATTTTTTTTCACGTAGCGACTGCGACGGGGCTGGTTGTAGTGCCGGGTTCGCATCGTAATTTATACCAATTAATTAGCATAACTAAGCGTAGCTAGCATCGCAAAACCTGATGAAACCAAGCACACAAAATTAAGTTTTTTCGTAAAGTTTGTTCAGAGAAAAAGTCTGTGAATTCCAGCTGGCTTTTGAACGAGACATAAATATCTTGCCGCTAATAGTGTGACAGTATTTGGCCCACACGTTCACAAGAGTCTCGACTACCGATCATCAGCGTTTTCTTACCATATTCAGAAAGTCTGGAACTGCAAAAAGACTGAATTTCAAGAGAAGGCATGCATTCGCAGGCAGGAGATCATGTGGGCATATAATATTGTACAGTCAAGGATAATGTGGCCGCCACAAGCAAATAATAGGGCTAATTGGAAAAACATTCCCTGCTGTCGACATAGTCAGGTTTATGATGATGATGACGCGATTATGGTGATACCCGTGTGTGAGACTGGGCTAGTTGGTAAGTCGCCAAGAGAAAGAGCAATGTGGCACCTGACGATAGACTACAATCTGGGAATAAAGATGAGCGTTGACTTTCCAAATTATAGTTTATTTAATTATATGACACCTATGAGTTTTTTAAAACATACATACAAGCAGTATAAATAGTACGTGGCAACACAGGGTGGCCAGCAACAATACTAATTTTAGGTGCTGGTTAATGTTGGCTCATGATGATTAGGCAAGGCTAAACAGTCTCTAATGTTCCCTTTTGTAAGTGTCTTATTGTCAGTTGTGTCCTATGCGGCCATGTGTACATTGACAGTAACCTGATTTTCATCGTCCGGAATATTTTTGCAGGTGAGTTTTGAAGAGTTCAAGGAGGGCTTCATATCGATCCTGACTGAAGCGGAAGATGAACCACCTGCGAGTGAACTGGCCACAAGCGATGTTCCTGGCAAAGTTGGGGAAGCCGGGGACAGCCAAGAAGTTTCTGGCTCGAAGAAAGGTATTATAGCTAATGGAATTTGTCCTTCATTACAATCTCTACTCAGAGGTGCTTTGAAAACTAACAATAAATTGTTGAGTGTTACTTGCCAAAACTACATGATGATCATAAGACACGCGTAGTTGATGGCTTCGAAAATTTCGTGCATCTGGTGTTCTTTAATGAGCAATGACATTGTCTAGCAGACAGACCTCTAGCAGTTTGCCTCGACTGAACTGTGACTGCCGTGGCAGGAATAGAACCATGACCTTTGGGTCAGCAGAAAGAGCAGTGTAACCACTGTACCGCTGAGGTAAACATTGTTTTAAAAATGTGAGAACAGTGTATTGTTGCCCAGTGCTTAGCATTTGAGGCACCATTAACACCTGAAATACGTTCTCGAACTATATGATATTGCAATCTCACCTTGAAAGGTTACATTTGGCTTACGTGTGAGATGGCATAGACTGATAAACTTCAACTCTGGAGATGTTTAGAAGTGACACAATGCCGCAGACAAGTATGCTGTCTGGAAAAATCAAGCTGACCCTTAGCTTGCATTTCTGGAAATACTATTGACACTTACTGAAGATAGTGAACATCCCGAAACTTAGGGAATGCTTAGTGAACGCTTAGTGATATCCAGTTACTTCATGAACATTAGGAAATTTTGTATACCGTAGCATAGGGCATTATGTAAAATGAAAATATATTTGCATCATGACTTCTACATTAGAAAATTTTTTATGTTGTGTGTTATCATAAGAAAACATACGATTTCATATTAAATGTGAGCTTGATGTGTAGAAGTTTCAGACATTAAAAGGAGTTGTCTGATATGGGAATGCAGCTGAACAGCACCTCGCACGTGATGTTGATTTAAAGGCTCCTAAATGTTTTTCGTTAAATAATGTACAGAAACGTCTGACCTTCACTGTTACTGTTCTCCCTTGCCCATAGTTACGCATAGTTATGAAGACATACCTATATGGCTGATAGCTTCTGTTTCCAATAATTTCAGAAAACCGATGTGACAAAGATATCTGGTTTTATTAGAATCATTCGTCCACTTAGGATCCTATAATAATGTGTGTGTGATTTGATATGATCATGAGTTATTGGATCAAATGATTCCACATAAAGACTTGTGGCAATCTCGTATTGGTATAAGGTTACTTGGCTTACTGGTTTATGAAGCATATTGTCTTTCTGTTAAAAGTCTGATGGAGATGATGCAGCTGATGCTCTCAATTTTTACAGGTAGGTTAGGAGAAAGCATAACTCAGAAATGGAATGTATTTCAGTCCGAAATGGAATGTATTTATTTTTCAATGCATTTATTGGGAGTCCTGCGGGTAAAATCCAACGACATGTGGCTTGAATGTGCTTGAAGGCCCTTACGTAGTCGCAGTATATCTCCTATTGCAAATACAAGGAATAGGACACTTATCGTTGAACATAATGAATGATCCAGTATTTGTAGAAAAAAATGATCATATTTAGCGATTTACATGACTAAGGTTAATGCACAATAATCTCAGATTGAAATGCGACTCAATTTTTTTAGTATTCTGCTGTGAGCAATCTTTTAGTAGTGCTATGCAACGAATGACTGCTGCGTGTAATTTCTTGGGATAACCACGTCATGTCGCTGCTAGTCTGGCTGCTAAAATTAATATTGGCTGTGATGTAAATGCTTGGGTCATAATTAAGCCGATATGACACAAGCTGTGGGTGCTGGAAGTGAAATTTCATAAATTATTTAGCCATAAGCTGTCATGTCATAATCCATGAGCACAGTACATTAGGATATCATTACACTCATATTTCGATATAACGAAGTATTGGTTATAATGAAGTAAATGAAAAATATTCTTGCAGTAGGTACAGTGTTAGGAATATACCTTTATAACGAATTTTTGGATATAACAAACATAATTTCATGAAAGATGCAATTTTGTTATAGTCAGTCCTTTATTATTCTATAATGTTATTCTGTGTTACTATGAGGTTTGAGTGTAAATTGAGTCTGAGGGAACCAGGAAAGTATGTTTTACTTAAAAGAAGTTTTGTTTAGTGAGAGATGAACAGGGGTACATTGATTGATATGTGGGGTTTAACGTCCCGAAACCACCATATGATTATGAGAGACGCTGTAGTGGAGCGCTGCGGAAATTTCGACCACCTGGGGTTCTTTAACGTGCATCCAAATCTGAGCACACGGGCCTACAATATTTCCGCCTCCATCGGATATGCAGCCGCCGCAGCCAGGATTCGAGTTTGCGACCTGCGGGTCAGCAGCCGAGTACCTTAGCTACTAGACCACCGCGGCGGGGCGAACAGGGGTACAGAATTCAGGTGCGAAACCAGTCGTATTGGTGATGATTCCATGTAAGCAGCAGTTCTGCTCAAGAGACATTGGTTTGCTGGAATTCTACCATAAAACATTGTGCAATAGGATTAGTACAAATGTGTCCGTTGCTCTGAAACTTTGAAGGTCGACTGGTTTAGTTTTGATTTACATGGTATTTAGCTGTAATAATTTATAAAGTACACTACTGTTACTGGCAATCACTCTTCTTAAAGTGAACATTGTACAAGGATCCAGCGTATCTTGAAATCGACATTAATTCGAGCAGTATTGGTTCTTTCGGTAAGTCGAGTTTGAAGAAATTCATATTTATAGCAGCTTTATGTACACTCAAGTGATGCAATGTGCTGTACATCTTGAAAGCATCCTTTGCTTCGCAAGATTTTTTAAGGTATCCTCTATCACATGCCTATCTATTGCCACATTACAGCTTCCATGCTTGCCAGGAAAGCCTCTTCTCGGACTGGCCACAGGGGGGCCTCTAAGCACCGTCATGCTATCTGTGAGGCCTTTGTGTAAACCTGTTACTGCAGATGCACCGAGCACGCCTGCCATTTTACAGTTTAGCACTTTCATATTCGGTTATAAGCTTTTATTTGTTCGCTTCATAAACTAGTTTTCGTCGTAGCTGTAAGTGACTATGTTGTACGTCGCTGTAGGTGTGCAGTCTCCGAAGTCTGTTGGACAACATTGCACATGTGCTTGTGGTGTTTAAGTAGACCACCATGGACATTGCATTTGCATGTTTTTTTGTGTAGGTGTATGCATTGTGCAGTCTGAATTCAATTTGCATGGATTTGTTCGTAGATGGGGCATTTGGTGAAATGTTTGCAGTAGATAGCACCATACTTCTTTAAAGCCTTCAAACATTGACATTTTGGGAGCATTACCCAAGGGGTAAAAACTGGTGAATGCTTCCAGACGCTGTATATTTGTGGCTGCGAGTACCCCTTTTGTGTACATACGACATGCACCGTCACCTGCATTTCTCAGAAATGTTGAAAGATGAAAATACCAAAGCAAATGGCTATTATCACAAACATTAAAAGGGTGGTGGTCTGTGCGAGTTGGGGTTGCATGACATTTTTCATGAGTTGGCAAAAAAATGAGAACAAATCAAGATATAGAAGGCAGAACCACTCCCCTCGACAGTTGTTTTGTCCAGTTTTTTTTTCTTTTTTGCCATTTATTCTAAGCTGTGCTCATTTATGAAAGTGTGTTGTGCCGAAATTTCTTGAAAAGGGATGTTAATTTTTTTTGTTTGTTTGCAGACTAGGTGAGTGTTGCGTGAACACGAGGTAGAGGGATGAGAGGCAGTTATATACAACTGCCTTTCGTATTAAAAAAAATGAAGTGTCTTGTTATCTGCAGAAGTGGTGATAATTTTGAGCACAAAGACTTGTGGGCCACTCCAGACGTCAGTGTGTGGTGTGTGGGTCTTCACAGGTTTCTTCTGCGTGGCCCAAGATGGCATCCTACGTTTTGGGGGCAGTATAACGTCACGGAACTTGTGCATACTGGTGCAGTAACCATTAGCATTATCCCGTAGAATTAACCAAGAGATTTAAATTACACCACCTTATAGCTAACTGATAAGGTGATGATATTAAATCGACCAGTAGTTTACCAATAGAGTTAAATATAGTTAGCCATTATAGTTGACTGCTCAGAGCTGACCAATACAATCAACGAGAAGTAAACGACACAGTTTTTGTTGAGTTAGCTGATAAAGCTATCAAGAAAAGTTTCCCTTTTGGTGTGGCTATCAACATAGCTCGGCAGTATGCCATTGAGTGGTTGCTTGACTTTTGACAGTTACCTTACCATAGTTTTTGCCCTACGATGGTTTCGGCCCTATCTTCTTTTCTATTTCTTATTCTATCTTACTTTTTGTGGCATTGCTTAGCCACTAGTACTCTAGAACTCAAATTGTAGTGAAATTTCACTATTTAATCAATTCAGAGCTTATCGATAGAAAAAGGATCTTCTATCATGTCTCTAAATCATGTCTCTAAATGCAACACCTCGCTGTCCAGTTACCGAATCTAGCACTTATCAACTTCACTGTTTGGGCCAAAGCGTGGCGTGTGATGCTGAGGCAAGTGTAAAGTACATTGGGGATTGTATTTTACATAAGAAGCTCTGTGAAGGCTGTGAAGCAAGTGAAGCGGTGTGTCCTGTGATGTGCCCTCATGCTTGTGTTCTCATTGTAAATTATTAAATTCTTGCAGATCGGGAGGTGTCGCCAAAGTATGTCCTGGGTGAGAAGAAGTATGGCCGAAGGTCGCGACCAGCCTCACAGGCAGATGTAGACGTGGAGATCTCTTCGGATGAGGATTTCAGTGCTGACGAAGTCCTCAGCCCAACGACAGCCGAAGGTTCTAGCAACGTGACGCCAAAAGCTAACCCCAGTGTAAGAATAGAGTGAATCTATTGTACCTGCATGTCTTGGTAGGAACAGGACAGGGTATTGCTGAAATTATTTCTCCATGAAGGAAAAAAGAAATGTTATAGTATTTGGTTATGACTTAAAAATGAAAAAAATGACGACACAGGATAGAAATAGTGAATATCTATTGACTGGTCAACTTCTCGACAAAAAATGTTTTATGTGCCAACGATTAATGGTCAGTGTGGTTAGTGGCGACGCCACCATTTCCGCATGTTTTGTTTTTCGTTAAGGATAAACATAGCGTATGCTTACATCTTTAGTTGTTAGTGTGCTGTAGCTGTGTTCACTCACTAGGAAATTAAAATTTCCGCAAGAGTGCCGCCTGTTACCACCATGTCCTTTTGTGTCGAAGTTGGTTTGTCCCTCTGATAAGTATACGCTAGTGTCATTGGACAGACTGGTGCCCTGCGTTGTTACCTCACCTGGTCGAGAGCGTTCCGCGAGTGTCCTCGCCTGAAGAGTTTATATCTTACACTAAGGTCATGACCAATTCGCCCGACTTCTCGTTGTGCTTATATTTTGGCTGGTGTTTATAAGTATGGCACGAACTAAGTGCTATGTCGGTCATAATGAAGCAGTGAGGCCAAGGAAGGTATAGGCACCTTATTTGTAGTAGTTGTGTTGTAGTTATTATAATATAGATTTGAAGGACCTAAACTGGATGTCAAGACAACCCGCTCTGGTTCGTTATCAAACCTGGAACCTTTAGATAATGTACTTGATTCTCTATCAGTCGAACTATATTCAGCAGTGGTCGTCCCCTTGTACAATTTATCAGCTATTACTCTGCATGAAAACTAGGCAGTGGCACTCAGCGCTGCTCGTAGCTGTGACGGTGAGTGCGGAACACTATTTTGCTAGCTGTTTTCACTTAGTACGTGTTGTTTCTACAATCCGGTAGTTGACTAGTATTACTAGTTCTGTATGTTATCTGAAGGCATAATACAATGCTGCGAGGATAGCCAGGGCTTAGTATCCCAGGGCTTAGTATCCCAGGGCTTATTGGTCAGCATTCATTTGTACTATGTCAGTACCAGGCGAGCTGTAGCAGAAAACGCCCTGTTCTGCCCACTAATGTTGGTTTATTTTGCAGGACGTACAGCCCAAAACGTCGTCGGGTGTGCCCAAAGCGACCGCAGTCGTTTTGCCAACCAGCATACTCCCTTACCCAGAGAGCGGCTTTGACGACTCTGGTCACTTGGCGGGAAAGTTTTCTTCGGGCGACTTCGGCTTGGCCCTCTCGAAGGACTCTGCGGAAGGCGCAAGGGAATCGGAAGGGCCACTGATGCCTCCGGCGTTGTTTGCCACCGGTTTCGACGTTGCGTCGTCTCCCATGTTTGGACAGTCGTTCACCGTGGGCGGCGGCTCGGAGTCGGCCGAGTCTAGCCTCACGCTTCTAGAGACGAATCCAGAGGAGTACCTTCGGGCCACATGGCGGAAGTTGAACGTTGGGAGCGACGGCTATCTGCATGTTGACGAGTTGGCGGGTGTCTGTGAGCACATTGGCATGGAAATGGATGAAGAGGTATGTTGTAGAGACACTAGTGATGATGAGTGGTAGTCATAGGTGGGCACAGGGTTCTCTGTTCCAATAGGGGAGGCCGAGTTTCACCACAGGGGTGAAGCACACCACCAACGAATCCTGAATGAGATTCGAAAATTGAAATGCAGCGATCTTGTGCTTGTCACCCGGCCTGTGATTTCTACCCAGATTTCGAAGGGTATAAGTGGGACGTAAACAGATCTTGGAATGTGACACAAGGGTCTTAGGCATTTGTTATTGTCAAAAATCCATGTGGCGTTAACCTTGTGCATTCGGAATGACTAGATTGGGCAAACCTCTAAAGGTAGGGGGCAGAATCCTTTTTAAAAGACTAGGAGGGCAGTCCTTCCTCCTGGCCTCACCTCCCCTGTACACGCTTATTGTGGCAGTGATAACAATCTGGGGAGCTTTGCATGCCAAAGCCACAATATGACCATGAGGCATGCTGTAGTGGATGGCTCCGAAAATTTAGGCCACCTAACTGGAACTGATATTGTTCATTAGGGGGCCTCTAGCATCTCTTGAAATATGTATGCCGTGGCTTGTATTGAAGCTGTGACTTTAGGGTGGGCACTCAATCACCATAACTGCCGCGGCATGACAAGCGGTGACAGGTGTTCCTATGCAACACAAGTGTATGAGAAAAATGTCATAAAAAAGAGCCTTGTACTGTTTTGCTGACCCAATTTCGGGAACTTTCTAGGGACCATGAAATTGTCAAAAAGATAAGGCAGCCTGAAAGAAAGAAAAAAAAAAAGGCATACATTTGACAGGTATCTAATTACTTGGGGATAATGTGAACAAAAGGACGGTCTGATATCCACCACGGCGGTCTAGTGGTTGGGGTGCTTTACTGCATCCAATTGCAGATGTGGCGAGCGCCTTCCACTGGCGACGAAATGCTAGTGGCCCATGCGCTTAGATTTTGGTGGGAGGTCGACATTCACGGAACCCTTCCCCAAGATGTAATTCATAACCCTATTATGGTTTTTGAGCTGTGAGACCTCACTTCTTATTGTCATCAAAGGACTGCTTGACCCCAATGAAAAGTTTTGATCTGAAGACCTAACATATTGAGGATGATGCGAAATTTCAGGGTAACAGTGCATGGCTACCCTCCCTGGAAGCCCCTGGTGACACCCTTGGCAAATTTTTCGAGCCTCTTTTCACTTGAAGAACACTTCTGAGGCTTCTGTTAGCATGGCACTGACAAGACAAAAATAAGAAGACGTAACACAAACACACAGTTGTTGCACAAAATGCATGCAAAGCATGTTCGTGCAGATATTTGACCACTTTGAATATTCGAACGAATAATATGGTATTCGAATTTGTTTCGATTCAGATTTAAGTAATAAGAAATTTCGAACTGTTTGAAATTTACAAATATCGTGAAAAGCAAAATATAGGTCGGACCGGAATATAGGTCAATCCCACTAACTTTGAATCTTTAAAAAATAAATTTTCAAAAATTGCAAAGTATTGGGGTGCACCGTTATCTTGATAAGTATGTGACGACACAATAAGCTGCGCTGTGGTGATGTTTCTTTTTATTTCTACACTAATCTTATGTAGTTAAAATGCCAGAAGGCCAGAAAGTGCTGTCACTCAGACTCGTTCCAAGTTGAGTCCGACAATGCCTGTTTCTCACTAGTGACGTCCCAGAGTGCATCGTCCTTCGTTTTATTCAGTACGTTGCTGATGCAGCATTTGCGGAACGACTTGCACAGCATCTCTTCCGGAAGAGATTTTCAAGCTGGACGACACCAAGCCACAAACAATCGCGAGCAGGCAGCCAGCGGGGGTTTTGGGATTTTCGCCCAGCATTCACTCATTGTAGAGCTCGCGCATGCTACCTTCGAAGGGTTTATTGAGTACTGCGTCCAGTGGCTGGAGGATCGATGTTAGTCCCCCCAAGGATCACGACAAGGTTCGTATGGCCATCGGACAGAGCTCCCTCATTTACATCGGCCATCAGGTGGCCTCAAAATGAGTCGAGAAACAGCATGCTCCTTCGCTGAAAAAGCGCACAGGGTCGTGAATTCCACGTGAGCCAGATCCACTCAAGCATGGGGGACTCATTCATGAACCACTTTTCGTTTGCTGTCGTGATAGCATCCCAGGGAAAGTCGTCTTTTGGTAGACCTTTTCTTTTGAAAATGATATAAAGGATCAGCTCCTTTCCATCGGCTGTGCATGCGAGCATCACTGTAAATCACGAATGCTCGTTGACCGTTTTCAAAAGCTTCACTTGCTTGAATCCTTTAGCGGTCACAGTCCAGTTCGAAGGCATATCGAACCAGATCGGAGAACCGTCAGTGTTGCCCATGTGTCCCGTGAAACAAAGAAAAGGCAACGGCACCAGCCGAGCGCATCCAAATGCGCTCTGCGTCCCCGCTACATGACTGCGGCGGAACGCAAGAAGCACGCGCGACCAGTTTCTTCGGAAACCGAAATGGCGGCACTTCTCTTTTGCTACCGCAAGACACCGCCAGCATGATTAGGCCCTCCAGCAGTTTGCCTCGAGGAGCGGCGTTCCACCTCCTAAGTGTTCCTCCATACATGCAGTTAGCCTTTGGCTTGTGCACAGGTTGCTCATTTTGTCTACGCCATCTTCATGCACAGCTTGCGCAGGCGGGCACATTACGTAGCATACTTTTGGAAGCATGTTAATGCTCGAGACAAGACAATATTTTTTCAAAGGTGGGAAATTTTGTTGGCAGTAACTGCCAACAAAATTGGCGAAATTGATGGTTGAATCGGTGTGGGTCCTTTTCTTCCTATTAAAATACAGTCGACATCCGATTTTTTGGACCCTCAAGGGATTGCGAAAACGTCCTAAAAATTGGGCAGTCCGGAAAAACTAATGTGCAAGTGAAAACATACTTTTTAATAGGTATTTTTGGTTGACAGAGACGCTTGTGGCAGGAGTGCAGAGTACTCATTGTAATTCAGCAAATGCATCGTTTAGGTGGCCATGAAAAGAGCTGAAAGAAAGAAACAAAAGAAAAGCAGAATTCAATGTGGCCAGCGCTACCACTTCTTATTTTCATTTTCGCAGCGTTCTACTTGCCCACGATGATGTCTGCCTTAATGTCGGCTAACGTCGTGATGTCGCTGTACACCGATGACAGTGTGAGTGCTCGCGTCAACTCCGACCTCGTTGGGTGTGTAGGCCCTGCCTCTGAGATCACGGTGTCGGAGTCGTCGGAATCCTCTGTAACTTGACGAATGATTTGGTCATCGGTCAATTAAAAGCTCGAGGTGTTTGTCAGCGTTGGTGAAGTCCTCAAAGGCTATCTCGGCTGGAATGAAAACATCGGCAGCGTGTAGGTTGTCGAAGGCAATGTCCGTTGGTGGAAGTTTGTCGCACATGCTGTCCACTCTGGGTGAGGACGGCCGTCTCAGCGTCCACTTGTGTGAAGCTCGCGTGGCGAATACAGTTCCAGAGGGTGTGTTGCGTAACTGCTTTCCACAAGTCTGCAAGCATGCCGGCGGCAGACCATAGGTCAGCAGTATAGCTTTTCTCACAGCGGGAGCGCAGGCTGCACAGCGCCATGTGGCTTATGCTACGGCTGGCAAAGGATTGGTGTGCGCTGGATTGAGGCATTTTCCGTTTCGAGGGTACGGCAGCCAAAATAGAAACGTTGATAGCCACTTCAAGTCTGCACTTAGCAGTAAGAAGTTCGGAAAATCGGATGACGAAAGCTGTAAGAGTCCGGAAAATCAGGTATGTCCGGAATTTCAGGCGTCTGAGAAATCGGACGTCGACTGTGCACACAGTTTTGATCACACCAGTCATACAGTTTGAGTGATCTGTCAGTTCGAATTCGAAGATCTTGAAATACCATCGAACACCTTTATAAGTGGCACTAATGTAACCGGCAGCGTGTGTAAGAGGCACCAGGTGCATACTACATCAAAATACGGGTACCACGTCCTCACCAGAATGAGAAACTTGTAGTGCCCTTACTATAAGGCACTCCTCAAATGAGGGACAAGAAATTCTCACCAATGTGTGCTTCTTGTGGAGAGGTTCAACTGTGTTGATATTCTGCTATGAAATAGCTCTTTATTCATGCACGACTCTCAGAAATAATTCTAGTTGGAGTGAAGAGTGGTATCGTCAACCTGAATGTGTTGCATGCACATCACATGGCTGTTTTGAAATACTGCCGCGAACCCCTCTCCCTCCCCCCCCCCCCCTCCTTTTTTTTTTCTTTTTGCAAGTTCTCTCTTGCTGGGGCAGCGCTGCTCCTTGCAGTGTCAGGTTACCAAGTGAGTTGGTGAGTCTCTTCGAGAGTCTCATGAAGCTCCTGTTCTCGCTCCTCACAGATGATTGGTCAGCTCTTCCACACACTCGACTCCGACCAAGACGGCAAGATCAGCTTTCAAGAGTTCCTCCAAGGCATGTTCCAACACGGTCGAGCTCCGAGCAGTCGGAGTGTCACGCCTCCACCCCTGGCATCTCCCCTGCCAGTGGTGCCACCGTCTCCACTGCCATGTGCCAAACCTCTGGGCCCGTCCGAATGTAGCATGGCCAACCAAACGACCAACTCACCGGGCCATCACCGTCATCACCCTGGATACCGGTGGGTTGCACAAGGGCTCATTTTTCTTTGTTAGGCGCAATCTTAATGAGAACCAAGCCAAGAAAAGCATAGGGGACTATATATGTCACAATTATGAGATAAATGGTGGTATAAATGGTATGAGTTAAATTGTATGTCTCCTGTACTATTCATGGCTTGATATTTTGCTGGTTATCATTTGGGTTAAGTATTGTCACTTCGTGTTAAGTGAAGATTCTGTACTTCACAGGTTCGCTGAACACCTCCGTCATCTTTTTTTTAACATGTTAAGTAAACGCGTGCCTTGAGTTCAGATTGCCATCACAAACAGTGTCAAACGGGGCAGTGCTACGTGTCGGAGATGGCCATAAAATAGCGAAAACCCTGTAGTCCACTAGTGAGAACCAGAAGAATCCGACCAGAAGGCAACGACAACGCAGCAAGCACGACATGGTTGCGTCTGTTTTTGTACCAGTCTGACTATATTGCTTCAGAAGAAATATATAGTTTCTGGTCTCACAGCGTCGTCGTCGGTCGGCCTCCATCCACAAATTGGTGATTGGGCTTCTCCTGACCGCTCTCGCTTCCTGTTTTGCACTTGACTCAGCCACTCTGCTTGGCCTAGAGCGGGCAGAAGCTCGAACAATGCAGTCTTTGCAGTCCTTCCCGAAGCCAGGCAATCGTGACCTCTAATCAGGTACAGTCATCATGGCCACAAACCCGCGAGCCTTAGGTTGCCGCTTTCAAGCTTCCTGATTTCTGGTCATCACATGTGTTGCCCTAGCAATGTTGTGTACCACATATCTAGCAATCGCTGAATTGTAAAACTATGACATCTTGTAAAGTGTGTCAGACATTTGGCCTTTGAATCACTTCAACTCATCTCTGCAATGAGTGTTGTGCTCTCACTGTCATTGCTACGATCCTCGTGTCTATGGCTGTAACTTCACCCCTGAAAACGCGACCGAAATTTTCAGGTTTACGCTTATTAGTGAGAGTTATTGAATTCTTTTTGTTAGTTTGCATGCCTTTGCAGGTTGTCGTTACACAGGAGAATTAAATAAGCTCACCTGGTAGTGTGGTGGTACCTGTTGGAGCAGATATCAATCACTCCGCATTTTTCGTCTCTGTTGTCATACAGCCAGACTGCATGCGTGCTGACGGGCATACCCAGACATGGTCTCCGATGTTGTATGCAATCTGTCCACATGCAATCCTGGAGGCCAAGACTGGGCGACGCTCAAACCGTCAAGTTCCCTCACTAGGGATGCCAGCGTGTTTCATAATTTGAGGTGGCAAGGCGGGCGTCAGAAGGATGGCTATATGTAATTGTCCGTAGTGGCTTAGATATGCAGCATGTCGCTAAGTTTGTGGTAAGAATGATTTTATGATGCTCTAGCCTAAACACTAACAGAACTTCAATACTTGTTTCAAAGTTCCTTTAAAAAATTTCAGCTCTGCCCACAGCCATATATGTCCCTCTCGTGGAGAACTTGCGTAAATGCTCAATGCAAAAGTGCTTACTCATTTTTGTGATTGCCCGGTGTTTCAGACAGTTTTTGGTCAGAAATCGTAATGACTCAGTAAATTTTGTCCAGGACTTCGACAAACCTGCTCAGCCATAGGTAATGTTTTAGGTAGTAATGATGGATCTTTAACTCTCTATATGCACAGTATTTACGTTAGCTGATCGATAGTACATATAGCAGCTGGAATGACTGTATTTCACAGGTAAAGGGCAGGGGCTCCATGGTTCTGTGGGTGGAGTTGGCATTTTTTCTTGGGCTGTAACAGTGTATACGACAACGTTAAGAGGGCTGGTTGTGAGACTTTCACTTGTCCATCTAGATTATCATCTCCTGCGGCAGAAGTTGGCCTTGCAGATCTCTGACACTAATGTACGCTTATCTTTCTTCATTCACTTTACTTAGGCGGAACCGCGGTGCCCAGAAGTTTAAAGAGGCAGCCACAGGTGACGACGAGATGTCTGACCAGCCGGTGTCTGGAGCCGTCGTACCGATCTGGGAGTCTGGCATCTTTTCCAGCATCGACCCCGACAACACTGGGTGAGCAGACAGAAAAGCATTCAATTTCCCTCCTTTCCAACTTGCTGTTGCGCCAGATTAAAGCTGCTGCTTGTGACAGTACAGTCGAGCCCGCTTATAATGAGCCTGGCGTGACGCGGCATCCGTTCGCTGTATCCCCGAAGTTCGTAGTAAATGAAACACTGCTTTTAAAAAAGCTGCGAGTGAAAACACAAACTTTTTTTGCCCCAAAAAGTCCGTGATGCACGTGTTTCGAAGAGCAGAAGTGATAAGGGCGGTGTCGAGTTCACTTAAAACGGCAGAATGTTCGTTCGCCGAAAACGGCAGGATGTTCGTTCGCCGAGGCCCGTGGCATAAGCATGAGGCACTGACTCCAAGTTTCGTCGTTCTGGCACTCCAGTTCCTCCAAATCGCTCTCGCCACGTACTTCATTCACAATGCCCAATCCGTGCACGGTTCCGCAGTGTCGGCATCTTCATCGGCCGTAATTAAACCATCGCAACAGATGTCCCATCCGCTCTCCAAGGTTGGAGTCGACGACGCGCTGCCACAAATCGCTGCCGCGATTCGGAAGCTTCAGGCTAGACATCGGGCCTGACGTCGACGAAGTCAGCCTCGCGAAAACAGTTTCGTGCGCATGTAGCCGTCACCGCCGCCCACGAAATATTAACCATCTCCACAGCTGAATATCGGGACGCTTGAAGCGGCAAGTTGGCAGCCAGGTGGTCAACAGCTATGAGCAAGCGCTCCGCAACGCAACACCTAACACGTGGATTATGCTCAAGCCAAGCGGTCACACTTTCGACGTTTTGTTGAGCGGCAAGAAAAAGTGTGCTAGTCCTCCCCTCGGTCATCATGACCACACACGTACACCAAGAGCGAGCAAGACGCACACACGTGACACACGGGCCAGAACGCGTGGAACAGCTCTGGGCCTGTTTCCAGTCAGAAAACAAAACTAATTTGAGCCAGCGTGGTGGGTGTCGTGAAGCGCTGAAGAAGGGCGAAGGGGTTGTGATCAAGAGAGGAAAGCAGACTTGCGAGAAAAGGCCAAGGAGTTGTGATAAAGAGAGGGGAGGATGCGGCGAGAGGGCGACCTTGAAAACCAAAACGCACGGGAAGGAGGCAAGTTGGGTAGCTTGCTTGAAAGGTTCGCGAAACTTGCACGTAGAAAAACTTGGAAACTTGGAGTGCCTGCGCACGCAGAAGTCAAAGCATGGCTGCCTGGATTGGTGCGCGCGGCGGTGTTCGAAGAATTGGCGGCTGTGGTAAAAAAATCGTTTTGTTGCGCCGGCGGGTTTGCGTGGCCTCACGAACTTCGAAATTTTGCGATTCGTTCCGCGCAAATCAACAGCTGTTTTTGTGCTTCCTCACGTGCGCGGAAGGCATGCTGAGCCGAGAGTGAAGTGAGCGAGAACAAGTCTTAAACACGAAACGAATCGCAAATTATCAGAGTCGGTGGGGTAGCGTACACGCGTGCACTAGAAGCAGACTATCGGATACAGTCGGTGGCTGACGATGTTGGCAATTGGTCTGGCCACTCTAGGCCGGCGATGCTAACATCAGTACCAGCGATCAAAAACAGGGTGCATGGCCGACAGGTCTTCGAAAGATCGGTGGCAGTGTAAAAACACGGGCCTCTTCTGGTGATGTGGGGTGCTCGGAGTAGCGGGGGGACAAAGGACGGAGGGGTGCGTAACAAAAATCGGTCGGGGAGAGCGGCAACTAGAGGGTCGCGGAGTCAGGGTCGGTGTTTAACAATAAGAATGTATGGGCACCTCGCTGATGCCTGATTGGGGGTCGAAATTGGTTTCCCGGGAAGTCGGCAGACCGCTGATTCTGTTCGCTGTAACCGATCAGCAGCGCTCGGAGACGTTTGTTGTAAGTGCGATTTTGTGCCATTGAACCATTGTATATTTTCGCAATCACACGGATATCGTTCGTTTTAAGCAAAAGTTCGTTTCAAGTGGGACTGTTATACGTGGGCTCGACTGTATTCGAATCGCTAATCGAACACACCGTAAAAAATGCACCGTTTCAGATGCATATGCTCGAAGGACAACCTCGCGTTGAGTTACTGCGTTTGCCATTTTTAACCGTTTTCAATCAAAACAGTTAGTCACGTTCAGTCTATTCTAGTCCATAAGAAAAGGAAAGCTCAAATAAATGAAGTTCACTACAGTTGATGCAATCAGAAAATGCATGCGGAAATCGTGCATTTTTTGTCGGCAAAACTTTTTGTCGGCAAAACTTGTGGAGTTCACTCAGAGTCACGCATGAAATATATTTCGAGCTTCGGACTCACCCGGACTCAAACTCCCGATATTTTCTTCAGCTGGACTCGCTCGGACTCGCACTCCCAAAAGTTTTGTTAAGCTGGACTCACTCGGACTCAGGCTCACGGCTTGATGCGACTCTGAGTGAGTCCAAGAGAGTGGACTCATGAATCTGTCAGCCTAGAATTAGCTTTTTAGAAAATGGTGTCAATGCTCTGTAGCACCAATATCTAACGTAGTCGGTCCTCTTCTTGGTACCGTTTGACATAGTATCATTGAAAACAAGTTCTGAGTGCTTCCAAACCAGTGAGGTCACTTTGCTTGGAAGAGATGACAGCATGCGATATATAATAACCAAGAAATTCCCTGGAGGAGTTGGTGGGGCGAGATCAATGCAACCCCTTAGATAATTCACACCTCTAATTATTAAATATTGAAACGGTGTACGAACGGGAGTGCTTTAAATACCTGTGAGTAGACGTGAGTACAAATGGGAATCGATGTAATGCTGATATGTAGTAATATTTTGAAGATGACTAGATAAAACCTTAGGTCGGTAAAAGAATGTCTAGCTAACTCACGCTCACTCAAAAAATATATTTTGTGCTTCGGACTCGCTTGAACTTAGACTCAACGAAATTTTCCTGAGCTGAACTTACTCCGACTCGCACTCACCAAAATTTCGTGCATCCAGATTCACTTGAATTCAGACTCGCGGAAATATTACTTATCCGGATGCACTCAGACTCAGACTCGGGACTCGATCTGAGTCTGAGTGAGTTTGAATGAGTCTACTCATGAGTGAGTTCGCCGATCTATGGTGGCAATGAACCACAGAAGAGCCTGTTGAGCCGTGCCTAACCCTAAACCTCTGTGGCTGGACTGCATTTAAGATTTAAGATTTAAGATTTTATGGAGGTTGTTTAGATCACATTTTATGAATGCACAGCAATGATTAGATCCATAGCCATAGGCTAGTAGGGGGTCTAGCAGGAGAAAGTATACGAGCAGAATACAATTAGTATAAAAAATCAGAACATCAAAGAAACTTTTTTTTTCAAGAAAACGAAAAAGATACACGAGAGATTTCATTGGGATTTAGGGTGACGTAATTGCTTGATAGAACATACAGAAATGTGTACATTCCTCATAATTAAGCAAATAAACAAGTACAGACGAAACATCAAACTATGTGTAAGATTTTGTACATGGTCAATACTATCGTTCTACATGTTGCACTTGTTGGCAGGGGCCCAAAATTGAACCACAAATGGTTAGTGGATATCTCTGCAGTCCAGCAAGAAGTACCACTTTTCAGACGTGCAGCGAGCAGCTGTTGCAAAAGTCGAATCCAGCTTGAGCCTTGAAACGTTTGTGTAGTTTCAGTGATTTCAACTGCTGCCATGATTTACACGAATGCAGTCCAGGATTTGATGAAGTGCTAAGTAGTCCACGTGACATCATTACAGCAGTTGGGCGTTTTGTCAGGGACTAGTGCGAAGAGACAGTTTTTGGCTAAAGCCTGTCAAAAAACAAAATATATCACTAGCGACCATCCTTTCTCGCGAACAAGGAGTATAGGAACCGTGAAAGTGTCAGTTTTGTCATTCATATGGTCGCTGACATGTTTTGCAATTGCTATGGTTTCTAAGAATGAGCGCACACTTACTTCAACTCTTTAGAGTATGGAGTGTTGAACTTGTTGTGGATACATGTCACCATATCAGCCTGTGTTCATATGTCTCAGCTTATGCTTGAATACTGCTTCCGTAATGCAATAAACTTTTGCTGCAATGAGGATGTCATTAATTATCGGATTATGTTGAGTTAGCATGAAGCCTTTGCTGGTATCGGACTAATACATGTACGCTTGTAGCCAGTGGCATGAAACCCTTAAGTCCAGGACTTATCTTTTTATTTTTAACAGGGCATTCATTTGATGACGAATTGGTAGCTAGGCAGGTGGTTGTTGTTGAGTGGGGTAAATTCACGGTGCCATGTGGTTTACAAAAGTTTTGGGACAGGCATGTTCCCATTGTGCCACCTCGATGCTATGACTCCACCTCTGATTAATATTAGATGTAGTTAACGTGGTTTTGTGTCACTTGGAGCTATGGTATAATTTTGGCTTGTTTGTATAACTGTGCCACTACTTTCTCCATCAATGCCCTACTTCTGAGGAGAAAAGTCACCACCGTTGTCCCTGGGGAATCCCTGTCGAAGAAACAGGTCATTCTTTCTGTTCCTCTCGCATGATTCTCAGTTCGTTTGTTTCGTATATATACATCTTGAACGCAAGCCTGCATATGGATGTCGAGACCGCTGAGGAGTATTTCAGGCATATTTGATATTGATGTCGTCACGTACAAGTCGTTTCTTGTGTGCATTGACACATTTCCTGTTTTGCAATACGTCTTCAGTGCCGGACGCGGGCTTCACTTGATTTTTGACTTGTAGCCCTTTGACGTTCTTCTTTCCCAGATGTAGTCTATGAAGTAGAGCAGGAAAATAGATTGATTTGCTGCATGTCGTCTCGTCTTTCTTCATACGCATCCTGTGATGGCCTTTGCGTCGCATGATCATTGGCCCTGTACAGTGCACCTAGGTAGTCTCATGTTGTTCTGCATTTCTCTTTTGCCTGTGCATTCCTATACATATCACTTGCATGATAACTACATTTAGCCTGTGCATTACTCTCTGCAGTGACTCAACAACTTGTGTATCGCTTGCCCTAGCTCATTCGGA